CCATAGGGTTTAGGGCTTAGGCTCCTAACCCCCCCATGTAAAGCCCTCAGCCTGAACCTTTATCATAAGCCTATCATCACCAAACCCGAACCTGGGGTTACCCTGCAAAAGGTAGTTCTTAGGCTTAGGGTTTCGGGCTTACCTAAAGTAACCTGCGCCTTACAAAGTCGTGACTCTAGGCATGCTGCAATAGAGAACCACGCCCTTCTTCAACACCTACTAAAAAATGTTGAGAAGGGGAACATCCCAACCCTGAACCGAAATAACCATGGACCCCGCAAGAAGGTCAACTCCCTCCACCAGCCTGAGAAAAAAACTCGGGGCTGGCTCCGGCGCATGCAGCAGCCTAACTCTCCCAAACCTGGACGCTCAAGACCAATCAAGCCCTGAACCCTAGCCCTAAACCCTAAACCCTTCAAGCCTGGAGTCCTGAAGCTGACTGAAGGTGCACCTATACACTTAGCTAACTATTGCCTTATCTCTTGTTGTTTGAAACTAAACAGGGAGGTTTCATGTAATACGAAGTCTTGATTGAGCTGCCTTTTTTCAGCGCACGAGTCGTCTCAGGCCAGCAAATAGAGAGAAGTGCAAATTCAAAAGGCTCCTCCATCGGCTCGGGTCTATGAAAGAAGGCCCTTGACTTTGAAGGGCCTGCAGCTTTGTGCCCTTTCACAAGACAAAGCTTTTGGTGGAACTCAGAAAGAGCTCTTCACACCTGTTTGCTCCGATTGGTGAACTTCAAGCCAAGAAAAGCTGCAAAGGTCACCAGAATGCTGGTGCACACCAAGGCCAAGAGCCCTTGATTCCACAGGGTGTACTTCCCTTGCGACATATCGTTGTGGTAGGCCTGCAGCTTCTGTTCGCCCACTTTTGGGCTCTGGGGGGGCTGGCGGTAGATTTACGTATCAGTTGGTTTGGCAATGATTTACATCTTTGCGTGTGCTACTACTAAAGGACTGGATCTCATGTTCCAAAGCTTGTCTGGATTATCTATGACTCTGTGACCAATCTGTTCACACCATGCGTCTCGGGAGGGGAGGAGACTTGGCCGTTTTAATTCCAAGGCGCCTGATGCACCACCAAGACGTTCAAGTCGATGCAGAGGGATTTGCCCTGGGCTCTCTCGATGGTCGCCGACAAGCACATGGGCAATGCCCAGCGGATCAACGACAGAGCGATCCTAGGATGTGTAAGCTTATCTATGCCGAACGGCATGGGTTCGCCGAAAAAACTCAGACAAAGACTAAGTCTATACTACTAATCTTTAGATCACCTTTAAAAGCGGGTGGCAATTGTGGGAACATTTGCGGCCGGGATTTTGGCCCAAAGTGTTTCATGAACAATGTCCATTACGTTAGGCTGTTGGGAGACTGAAACCCCATTTTGAGGGGGTGGTAATCCAATAAACGGGTGGTAATAGTGGGAAGGCTCCCGGAAAAAAAAACCCCAAATAAGCTTGCGAGAGAGCTCCTGTTGCAAACTCTTCTCAATCGAGGCCAAGACCGTACGGCTGAGAGTGCCGCACTTCAGCAGAGGCAATCCTAGAGAGTGCCTCAACTGATTCAGAACCCTAAACCCTAAACCCTAAACCCTAAACCCTAAAACTCCACCCTAAACCCTAAGGCTCCAGGCTTCGAAATCCTGATCTTCGCAGCCAACCGAAAAGCATCTATTCCTTCTTAAAAACCTTTAAAAAACAACCCCCGAACAAATTTGCCAAGGCTACCCCTTCCGAGGCCTCCAAATCGCAATAATAAAGGGTGTCATTAATAAACTCCGGCGAGCGGGGTGGATGCCGGTCTGGCTCTTCTTCTTCTTTTCTTCTTCTTCTTCTGGGCTTGAAAGAGCCGGCGGACCCCGCCGCGCACTAGCGCGCCCGAATCCCGTCCCCTCTCTCTCTCTCTCTTTCTTTCTCTCTCTCTCTCTCTCTCACTCTCTCTTTCTCTCTCTTCTTCTTCTTCTTCTTCTTCTTCTTCTTCTTCTTCTCCTCGCTTGAGAGGACCCCGGGTTAGGGGGCCCCCGGCCGCAACGGCCCTCTCTCTCTCTCTCTCTCTCTCGCTCGCTCTCTCGCTCTCTCTGTCTTTCTCTCTGACCAGAAGAGACCATCCCCTCCCCCCCCCCCCCCGAAGGTTTATGATTAGGACCCGGACCCTTTTCAAAGTTTGTTTGGACCCAGGCGCGGAAAAAAGGGGGGGGGGGGGGGGGGGGCAGGGTTTATTAAAGCGATCTAAACATTACACGAGTAAGACTAAAGATTCTTTTAAAGATCATGCCAAATCACGAGAACGAACAAAAGAAGATCTCGAAGGGTATCCTGTGTGTGTCGGGTGTGGCCTGATCTTTTCCATAGGGCTTGACGCAGTCACAGCCGTCTTCAGCCGAGAGTCATGACCTCTTTGGCCCCTCCGTCAATGAGATCAGACATCCTGGTTCACCATCAAACACACCAAGGAAAGATACGGGAAAACTCGTTTTATGAACATTATCGTTGAAAGAGCTGGTGAAAGAGATAAATACATACGTATACGTTTATGTATGTATATATATATATACTTATACACCGATAAATACATCTTAAAACTCGTGGCATCTTTGGTTCTGCTCAACAATTTTTCACCATGGCTTTGAGCTACTCCAAAAACCTGGAGGACTGAGCCTTTGCTTTGGTCAAAACGTTCAAGAGCCTTTGCCGCTGAGACTGTTCACCAAGTTTTCTCAGTTCATGAACCCCGGCTGTCAGACCCCTGTCAACCCTCAAGCAGTTTTCTCCTGCGCCTCCCAAAAGCAAAGGTACAAAGTTAATATCTCAAACGATCCAGGGGGTGGCTGACCCACCGCTGGTCCCATCTCCGTCGTCTTCTGCTGAGAGTCCTGTAAGGATTGCCCAAGATCCCACAGCCCACCAAGATAAACATCACCGTGGCCGTCGTCGCATTTTGAGGCTGGACCAAAGTCGAAATCCTCAGAGCAGCCCCCTTTTGGTTGTCATAGTCTGCTACATGACCGGCCAAAGACTCAACGACAAACACCTTCACGTTCATATAGACGGCAAGTCGCAAGTATCCCCAGCTGGCAGCAGCAAAAGCCACCAAAATGCCAGGAATGAGGTAGACCATGTAGGGCACTGGTGGCCTGCACTGCAAAATTAACAAGCTATCACAAAGTACAAGCACTTTGAGGGAGTCGCAAGCGTGAGCTGGCTTTTTGCAAACCACATGTTTGAGAAGGCTCATGAACTAGTAGATATTCGTAGGTTTGCAGGGTCTAATGGCCTACAAAGGGGCAACCAATGCCCTCGAAAATCCTTTGGATAGCCAAGAGAACCCCCAAACGTTGTGTCACTGAACCCAGCCTTGTCAATATGAAGTAGATCCTCAGCGGCCGAGAAAAAACGCCCCAAGCAACGTTAGAAGCTAACGGACCGAAAGAGCTGCGAGATGTGTACGGAAACAAAGATGTTGTTACTGCAATATCACTGCAATGGATGCGAATTGTTCATGCATGTAAATGCTTAGCCAGCCACAGACATTTCATCTTATGCACATCTCTTCTTCACAATTGCCTCTCCCAGCTTAAAAGGAGACGGCTAACTACACAGAACGGCCCAAACGAAGGCCAACCAAGCGTCAGAATGTAGGTGCTGCCAAGCAGGAGCACGTCGAACATGTTTCCTTCTATCTAGCAAGACACAAGAAACACCTCACACCAGGCTGAGATATGACAGGCAGAGATATTTTGCAAGGTAAGCCGCGCCAAGAATCGGTTGATCAGCTTTTGCATAGCTGCTACTAGTAGTCCCTCTCCAGCTGAACTGCACTAACAGAATCAGAATAATGAATGGGCCTAGAGGACCTGCATTTTTGCGACGACCCAACCAAAGGGCCTCTCGTTGGGCCCCTCCCAACAATCCGCCCCAATCCTCTAAACGGAACACGCCGAGTCTCCCAGGCATCGCGCAGTAAAGAAGGCCGCCACGCTGATGCCGTTGGCGCTCTCGCGCCAGAACATGGGGCGATCCTCACCAAAAACCTTCAGCGAGGAGACGGCGGAGAGCAGGGCCAAGCCAATGAAGAACATGTGGAGATTACCTGAACAGGTGGGTTGGGAGGTAGGGAGGGAGGTAGGGGAGGTGGAATTTTGATGGAGATTGTTTCTTGTGCTGTAGTAGGCTGTTGCTTTGGGGGAAGGGGGGAAAGGAGGGGTAGAGCGGTAAGAAGTTGGCAAAGTGTGTTTGTTCATGTTCGTGTGTGATTGTTGGTTTGATATGATAGCCTAGCTTTCATGTTTAGTTTTGGATGTAGGGACGGGTTGAATTTAGGATCACCTTCTTCAGTTCTCCGGCTTCGCTATCTCGTGCTCTATTGTGTGTTTAGCACTCCAACTTCACTATTGCTTGTCGCGTAGTGGCCGGTTCTTCATACACCATGTGCTCATCTGGTTTCACACCAGTGCTTAAAAGAGGACCTTCCCTGGCACTGGATGCGTCAGGCGCCAGGAAAAACGCCGCCAGGGGGCCTGGCAGATCTAAGGAGTTGGGTCCATTGGAGCCCATGTGCATCAAGCCGATGCCCGTGGAGCAGAGCAACACCAAACCGACTTCCTCCATCCTCCTCCTTGGCATCAGCAGGAAGCAAGCTTTGAACGGCAAGGCGAAGATGGAAGACGATCAAGGGCCCTTTTGGCCTCTTTTGGGGGGAGGTACATCAAATAGCAAACGGGTTTGCTGAACTGTTCGATGAATGAAAGATGGACAAAGAACATTCCTCAGGGCCAAGGCTAGCACAGGCGTACAAACTGAAACTATGTATCAGGAAGCTCATTTACTGATGACTGTACGTGTACATCACTAAGGACACATGGTGTCTTTGACAAGTTTCCACTGCGTTTCTCCTCCTAAATGCTTCGTTTCTTGGAGATCTATCCAGAATCTAATCTCTGCCAGGATCAGATGTTGGAATTCAAGTTCTTGTACACACACAACTGGTTCAATCCCACAAATCCACCTCCCCTAACTGATCACACCCCCTCTTCCGCTGGGCGACGAGGTCTCCCGCATGAACATAGCGAAGCGCCGCTTCAGAACGATGCCACACTGTTGACAAAAGCCCGGGCGTGGCAAGGTGAAGCGCGGCTGCGTGTGGTGCGCCTGGGTGCCATCATATGACATCTCATAGCGAAGAGTGCGCATTTTGGGTCAACCGCAAAAAGCCGTGAAGACTTGCAATTTGATTAACATCATTGCAAGTACTACCATGATCTCTCACGGAAGCTGTAGACACACATGACTCTCAAGCTCTCTTGAGCCTCCAAGGCCAACAGCCGCTGCGTTTCATCCGAGCTCTGCGTCCCTGCGGTCCCTGCGTTGGCAGTTGGGCTGACTGCGGCACCTTTGGCCGCGGGGTGTTCGGAGCCCCGGAGTCGATGGACGAAGGTCACCATGTCCTGCTTGGTGGCGAACTCTTTGCCTCCCAATGCTTTTAGGGTTTAGGGGTTTAGGGTTTAGGGTTTAGGGTTTAGAGGCACAGTACGACAAGTGATGGGAAAGGCGTAACCACCAGGCGTCTCCTGGAGAAGACTTATGTCATGTTGCATTTGAAAACAAGTCCAGCAGGGCTACGACACGTCTGTGAAACATTCATGAGTGCAGGATCCGGATTCAATCATTTACCCAGTCTTAAATGATCTAAACGGGCTATAAAAACGATGTTACCATAAAAACCATTTAGCTGTCCAATCAGTTTAACGGGGTTCATTTTCAAAACAAATATAGTTGACAGCTAGACACAAAATGTTGAACCAGTCAGCATCCAGCTACAGCTTACTTGAGTTAGCCTGGACCGCCTGTTCGCAAAATCAAGTGCGTAGCCTCAACACGCCTGAATGACTGATCGCCTGAATATGATCGAAAGCCCTCTTGTAAATTCCAAACAGTTGCATAACATAAATTCCTGGAAAGGCTCGTGGGTTGCGTGTGTATCATCACGGTCCAATTCGCCTCGGCTTCCCGAGAAGCGTCTGGAACAAGCAGACCCGGATCCGGCCTCCTTCCCCCTTAGCCCAACCCTTCCCCCATGCTAAATTCCCCCCCCCCTTTCCCGCTGTGTGGGACCCCCCCTCATCGCTTGGAGGCGCCCCCCACCCCCGCCCCCACCTAACCCCTTTTTGCTACAACCTCGTTTTGTAGCAGAAACCCTCTTTCCTCCTTTCCTGTCCTTGGGCCAACCCCGGCTGCCGAGGCGGCGCGCGCAAGCGTTTACAGTTAAACATCATACCGCTGCTCTGCAATGCTGACAAAATGCTACATTCAAATTGCATTTGTGTCCAACGCTTTCCTTTTCCGGATGCCTCACAATCAACAAGCACCCAAGGTTTACTATTGTACTGCCAACTTCGTGTGTTCATCTCATAAAGACCATTGCAGGGGACTAATTACAGAAAATTGCAAACAACATCGGACAACGAAGAACAAGTATCATACAAATACAATATACCCACAAATTATGAACATACTACCAGTATGCAGAAGTAAGTATGTCTTGATCGGTCAACACCAATCATCAAGACATAATCACAATAATGCAAAATACATGCGTTTCCATGGGTACCAAAAAGCAACCATGAGCAAGACACAAAACCAAAGTTTTGTTGAGCCAAATCAGCCTACCTCTACTATACCCAGGATTTAAACCCCAAGCTTCAACCTTTCAAATGGAGCCCGCAAGCTACCGACCCGTTTGGTTGCCCCCCGGCAACTTCTCAGCCTCCTGAGATCTGGTGCAACATCTCGGCCACGGCCTCGGGGTGTGGGTGCTGCTCTCCGCAGGTCTGCAGCAGGAGCCTCGCTGCAGGTCTGGCAAGACATGAGGATCTTGACACCATATGGTTCTGAGTCTAACAGTGGATGGCTTAGAATGGATAGTCGAGAAATCGTGACGATTCTACCAGGATAGCTTGAAGAAGCCAGGTATGTGAATGTCTTGATCGGTTCTCGTAGAAATTATGACCATCTGCTACCAGTAGCATCTACAGTAGCCAGACCTTGACGTTTCGGGATCCAATCGCCGGGGAACGCCAACTCCTTGGCATCCACACTGCCGGAACTGTCCTTGTCAATCTTGGCCCATTCTTCCTGGACGGATCAGCGCTACATCTGGCTAATATAGGATACCAAACCATGTCAAAATCCCATCGGCCAACAGCGTGGACACTCCTCGATGGCATTAACCAAGACCGCGGAGTCTTCCAGCGCCGTCAAGCTTCGGCGGACTTGATCCCTGCGTCCGGGGCTGTGATTGGCGTCAGTGTTGTTTCTTTTGTTTTTGCCGTTGTGGTGGTTCAGCTGCTTTTTGGATTTGCCCACTGGTAGGAAGCTTGCTTCAACGTGGTTTCTGACTGGTGCATGGTGCCACCCCTTTCCCAAAACTAGCTTACATGGTGATGTCAAGTTGTCATTCTCAAACGAGTCTCCGGAGCGTTTCATGAAAAAGCCAGCGACTTGGCAACAAGGAGGACAAGGGCGGCGCCTGCTGATGGAGTCCTTCTTGGAGTTCCAAATGTCAAAGAGCATAGCCTTACAAAGCCCAGCAACTGGGCAGCTGCCAATGGCTTCCAGGCAAACAAAAGCCCTTTCAAAGCTTAGCAGAGACATTCTGCAGATTAAATACGTACTTAACGTATGGTTAACAGCTCATAAAGAGGATACTAAAGAGCAACCAAATCCGAAGATCTGAACTAGTCAACCTGATTGGTGACCACAAACCGCCATAAGACACATTTCATCAAACACCAAAATCCTCCATTCAAATACTTCAAAAGCTCCACAATGTGCTCCACATAATCCGCCTGACCACTTCGCATAATTACCTCTACTAGATTAGCACCAACCAACGGACCAACCCATCCATCCACGCGCCCACCACCGCCCCGCTGTTCCGCCATGTCGCCGGCCGGAACGTTGAGAGCTGTTCGTTGGGCACTACCCCGGAAAGCACATCCATGAGCCAGTCAGCTGGGTTCCTCGGGAAGGAGTTTTTTTTGTCCGAGTTTGACGTTTCCTTTTGTTACGACGAGGCTTTTCCCACGGCCTTTCCAATGGTTTTCCATGGCCGTCTTGTGAATTTCCTTTCCTTCATTTTTTCCATTTCGTTCTTAAGGTTTTCCATGTGCCGTACGCGTTGTCCTATGTGGTGACATTCCTCTTGTCGCTTTACGTATACAACCTTTGTGTATAACTATCACCATCGTCATTGCGTTGACCTCGCTGAAATCTGCCCGCAGCCAAGCATCTCGGAGTCCGGCATCTCAAACCCTAAGGTTGTGATGGCAGAATCTCAAGGCGTGCGAGCTCTCGCCGTGCTGCAGACATACACAGACTTTAAAAACTAGCTGCCTTAGGGGCCGCAAGTACTAGTGGGAAAAGGGCTTAGACTGTAGAGGGTCCCTCGCAAAGGCAGTGACAAAGCGAAGAAGACGAGAATGACAGGGCAGAGAAGCAAAAGAGCTAGTGTCCACACTACAAAACTCGTGTCAGAGAGCAGCACGGATCACAGGCTCAGAGCATCTCACGGGCGGCCAAGGAACCTAAGGTTGTGAAGTATGACTTGGCGCCCAAGGAAGGTCCCAAGTAGACCTCATGCCGCTCATGTCGCTCGGGGGACCCCAATACCTACCAGTACAGTTTCTAATGCATAGCGATCGTTCATCACTTCAGGGTACTTAGGCTCAAAGACCGGAAACACAGGCAAAACCAAACAAAATCTGCACTTTCAATTGACAGAAAGACTTGTTGTCTCCTACTGGGCTGACTTCTCTCTAGTCTGGCAATCTGGCCTCTTGAGGGACAAGTGAGCCTAATAAATAGTCTTGCTCGGGCGATTTCAAACAGACAGATTAGTTAAGTGAGAAGTTGCCATTCTCAAAAGTGGCTGGCAGGTTCATGAAAAGCCACAATGTGAGAATCACCTTCTTCTGAAAGGGGCCTGGCGCCAACCGATCTCATCTTACAAGCCGTCGAGAAGCAGTGCGACCACCAGGGCCCAACAACAACACGTCGTCGAACAAGCTGAAGAGTGGATAACGTGGCTGATGAATGACCTCAGTCAACGAGACCTGCCCAAGCATTCCCCAGTTAACTTGTTCTCAGCGTCATGAATTGAAGTTACGTGCCGGTCCATCATCTTCCAATGCCCATGACCCAAAGGACAGTCCGAGTTGCCATGGCAATGGTCATGTCCAATCTGGCCATTTTGCCTGAGTGAAAAATGAAGATGTGCTCAATGCACGCGGGTAGGTCTGCTGTTTTCATCCGGGTTTCATTGTGATAGGAATGTTTTGTGGAGAGAACATCCAAAAAATGAGACTTTAGACTGCTCATATTATTCATCTACTATCTTGTCCTTCCTTTGCAACATGTTTTCTGCCATCGAGCCAAGCTGCTTAGTGAGTTGATGACCTGTAAGGAGGAGGTGCTATCCAAACCACTTGTGGGCTCGTCTAAGTAGAGCACCGTCGGCCTCGCAGCCAACTCTAAGCCGATGTTCACCCTCTTCCGTTGGCCCCCGCTGATGCCGCGCTCCTACCAGTCCACCGGGTCTTGGATCATGGTGCTTTTGTTGGCGCATGTTGGGTTCCAAGAGCTACAAGGTTTACTGTGTTGCCTGCCTTGGAGAACTCATCACACCACAGCAGCACTACAATGCAGTACATCTCTCCTCTACACCACCAACCACACTTCCTTGGATGTGGGTCATCTGCATCACCTGTCCGGAGTCCAAAAGGCTGACAGGCCTAAACCCTGCTGAAGGCCTTTGGGAGGAAAATTGGGTTCTACTAAAGGGCTCATCAGCATCACCTTTTGTCAAGGCAAAATCAGGGTGGGGCTTCCCTTGCGCTTTTTTATGTCCCACCAACTCTAGATCTAGAAATTCTGCACCCACAATAACATTGGAAGCCCAAGAACCCCCGCAACTCCCAGCAAGGCATTGGCCAAGTGGCATTCAAGACGTCTTCGACCACCTCTTCCAGCAAGGCATCCGGAACGTTGTAAGGGTTTCTGAGCTTCGCCGAGAAGAAGATGTTCTCCCCTGATCGGAATGGTTATGGGCATAATTCTACATGGGCTCATGAATGCTTCTGAAAGAGGATGTGACTTGTTTGAGGTGCAGAAATGTGTACAAAGCTCACGACTCACGAACAAAGGATCTCAAAGGATGGTGTCGGCCTGTACACTTCCGAAGTCCCTATTCTGCATTGCAGTTCCGGCAAGGGGGTAAGCCAACAACCTCCAAACAGTGTGGCTTGTTGAACCACAAATACCATTGGCTCAGCTTGAAGAAAAACGCTCGGCAACGCTTTTGGGTCAAACACTTCCACCTTCATGATTTGCAAGATCCGAGAGTGTGAACAAGCAGAAACTGTTCGAAACGTGCGTCTTAGCCAGCAGTTTCACTCGCCTACAAATGTATTGGCCACACTGCTACGAGAGATTGTCAAAGGGGGACCACTGCCGAAATTCTCGAACGGACATGACCAGTAACATCCACATGTAAACCAATCCAACAGAAAACCATACAAGCTCGGAAGACGTTCTCGCATTCATTGCTACCAACGACAGGGGCCATTTCTTTAGTAGGGCAAAAAAACAGTAGAAACACGTCTTCAGCAAAACCAGGCATTCCAAGCGTTTCTTCCTTCTGGTCGCTGGGTCCGAGTTGCTCACGGTGAGTTGCTCATGGACGATGTCGTCCTGCGGGACAAAGCCCATGCCTTGCTTCATGGTGAGCAAATCCAATTCACCTGGGCTCGGCCAAGCTTTCCGCTGCAGTTGCGAGCTTTGTTCGCTCGTTGGGTTTCACTGCGTGACATGGACTCTTCCTCCCCAAAGTGCTTGAAGATGTTACACGTGTTGTTTAGAATTTCAACACATTGGACACTTGGAATTTAGGAGCGCAAGGTCTTCTGAATGTTCTACAGTAAACCCCAAAAGTTGGAAACCTTTTTAAGGACACATAGCACTGGGATTCCCTGTACTTTACTCTTAGGGATTGAGGCTATTGAGTTTCCGACTTTTCGGCTTCTACTATACGTACATATCTCATCAGCCTCATCTGGGTCAGGATCCAGTACTTGCCCAGAAGAGGTGCCATCATTGAAGGCCACTTGGCCCGTCATCTGGCCATAGGTGGCCTGGATGGAGAAAGCACTGCAATGAAGGGGGCTGATTACAAATCGGCTACGTACAAATATGATCTTGCCAGGGGCTGCTAATGATTCACGCAGCATCGATTTTACACACCTCAAAGCATATCATGGGATTGGTGCTGGCTTGTAAGTGGGACCTCAACAATGTTCTATGACTGTAGATAATTTTTGCTTCTAGGCAAGACGATATACATATCAATATAGATAAAAAAAGAACACAATCATAAGCACATTCTATAGACACCTATACGTATGCACTTTCATCTACACTTGTATGTGTGAGAATGCATCACCTTGAAGCTCGGTCCATGCCACGGTTCGGCCTTACCGGAGAGCACGTTCATAAAGGTGGTCTTCCCCGCACCCGAGGGTCCCATGATGGCCACCATTCCTTAGCGCCGAGGTGGCGCAATTCGGTCAAGGCATTTCCATATTTTCTCGGGTCGGTCTTAGGCGACGTCTTGCATAAGAGAACATATTTTGACTTAAGACAAAAAACCGCGAAAACTACGCACTACCACTAGGATCAACACACCATGGAAAAAACCAGGCAGCGACCAGGCACCTTTTCCCTTCCGAGCGGCGGCCTGGCAAAAAGGTGCCGCTCACACCTTCCAGCACTGAACGTCCATCGACGAGGCGCAAGCCTGCCGGTCTTGCATCGCTCTTGCGAAGCTAAGGAGTGCACTGATTGAGGGCGCTGCAGGCATGTCTAGTTCATAAAAAAGCTAAAGAATCAATTAAATAGGAAAATGAGTAAATATAAACATATACATATATGTGTGTGTATGTGTGTATGTGTGTATGTGTGTATGTGTGTATGTGTGTATGTATGTATATATATATATATATATGTATATTTGGTTTTTTGCTAATATCTGTGTGTGCGCGTCTGCTTGAAAAGTATGTACAGTGGCAGCGCCGGCGGTTCTAGAAGTGGTGGCGTGGTAGTGATCATCACAAACGTTGCGCAGCTGGGCTGCTTAACGCATGGACCCAGGATGGCTTCCCCAAGTATTTCCATGGCCCATGTTGCTGGCCTAGCTCATTGAACTTGATGGACACGGGAACTTGCTTTCCTTCGTGGCCAGCGCAGTTTTGAATCTGGGAAGAAACCCAGCTTGGGAGCAAACTTAAAGCCTTTCGACTCACCTCGTAGCAAAGACACAGAAACCCATCGGCCCACTGGTCCCTCAGCTTCCCTCGTTTTTACGTATAGCGTGTTTGTCTGTCGGAATTTTTTGCGAAGCAAGGTTTGATGATGAATAACCCACAACAAGTATTGTTTGTAAGGCCGAACAAACCACCCAAAGTTCGCCAAACCATAGACGACCCTAGAAAAGACCCTAGAATTAGAAAAGAAGCCAAAAAGCACTCAAACATCACCCAGCAGGTTCCAACTCCCAGCTCTTTGCCGCTGGAGCATCTGCTCATCCCTCGAAAATGATAGGCATCCACCGCCACCGACGGCAGGAAGCGTTTGGCGATCGAGACTCCGAACCTCGACGCTCAAACGGTCAGAAACACGGTAAGTTGATGGTGTTGATAAGCCAATATGTGGCTATAAATAAGCAATGTACGTCTGAATTGTACGGTGTAACCTCTCTAGGGTATAGAAATCTACTACGTTTAATGCCCAATCACCAAGTCTCCTTCTGAAGCCCAAGGGTATACAAAACAGTACGATCATAACGACTCATGCCACTCCAGGAGTGGGCATCTTTCAAGTTTTCATTAGTGTAGCCTCCCCAGCGCTGTGCATCAGTTCTACTTCTGAGGGCGGCGCACAAAGCAAAAATGCCGGCGCGTGACAAGACTGGCAGAGGCGCTGCGCAGGAGACCGCGGGAACGAGACCTAGCCCTGCCACTCAAGCTCCCCGCCCAACCCCGGAGCATCTCGAAAAATTCTTGGAATGCCCCACCCAGAGTATCCCCGCAGCATCCCTGGAGTGCGCAGGAACCCAAACTATGACTATCCCTCGTGCCGGCCGTCCCCCACAAGTGTTCTAAAGAGCTTCCTACTTGTCCATAATAAGTTTTTGTTGAGGCAGTTCCCTGGCGGGCTTTGTTGCTGCATTCCGTGCAGCGCGATGACGCTGAATGCAAGGTCTCTCATAGTTCGAGATTCACATTCGAAAGCCCCCAGAAATTCTCTCAACAAATGCACTCGGGGCTGGGCGCTCCAGGGTTCTGTGGGGGATACTCTCTGGGTGCAGGGAGTCTCTGGGGACGTTCTTGGGGGCATTCCAAGCATTCTTTGGGGATGGTCTCGGGGGCTGGGCACTCCACGAAGTTTTTGGGGATACACGGGGTTGCATGTCGACTTCTGGGCGCCCAGGGGTTCTCTGGGGTTTAGGGTTTTGGGTTTAGGGTTTGCTCTGGCTGGGGATTCTCCGGCGATGCTTGCGCGAGGAGTAGACCAGCCGATTGGGTAGTCAACTGCAAGTCAATCCTTTCTCCTGTGGCTTCTCGAGCAACTGCACTAGCTTTACGGAAAATCCCGAGGTTGCCCAGAAAGGTCCTGGAGTGCAACCCAGAGTATCTTCAAAGAATCGCTGGAGTGCCCAACCTTGCAGAAATTGCAGATTAGTCCTTGGAGTGCCCAACCGCAGACTATTACCAGAGAATCCCCCGAGCATGAAACTCACCCGTGCACGGTTTCCACGCTGCTGCTGGAGATGCATTCGCAGCACTAGCATTTAGCTCACCCGTTCAAGGTTTCGATGCTGTGCTGGGAGATGCAGCAACGTGGTTTCGACGCTGCCCTTAGAAAGGGTATTGTAGGGCAGTATTTTGATCCTGGGCCTTCGGGGGCGCTTCGCCTAAGCGCCCCGAGAGTCCATGCAGGCCAATGCACCTTGGACACCTCTAAAAAACCTGTGGCTTGGACACCGAAGCCAGGTGGGGACGCCCCCCCAATTTGCACCCACCCCAGCTGGACCCCTCACGGCCCTCAGAGGCTAGCTTTCGTGATCAAGCCAAAGCAATCCTAGCAGCCCCTAAGGCCCTTCTTCTCATGGCTTTCTTCTTTGTATGGCAGATTCGGAAACCGCTACACTCACCGGCTCCTGCGACTCCGAGCAACGACTCGGCGGAGGTGATCACAGCCGAACGCTCGGCCCGCTGCTTCTGCAGCCGGCGCCAATACCTCCCGGTCAGCCCCCGGTCACTCCCCACAGGGGGTTTAGGGTTTAGGGTTTAGGGTTTAGGGTTGGTTTTGTTGGGGGCTTCGGAAAGAAAAGCCATTGGCTTGGATTGCTTTGTTGCAGGATACAACAATATAGCTTGTTGTGATATGACCGGCCTTCTTCAATGAAAAGATACTATTCGTGGGTGTGGTGAGAGAACAGGACAACATCATCTAAATTAAGCTTTGTGGTTGTTGCTGGCAAATTGTTCTATCTCCGCCGTCTGAACGCCCAGTGGCCGGTCAAAGAAGTAGATGCTCAGAAAGAGGAGCAGCAAGACACTGCTCGCTGCTAAAGGTGGCCAACGATGCTGCTCGTAGAAGTAGCCTCAAACGCAGATCTTTGACAAAGCAAAGCCAGATGCGGCTGATGGCAGATTTTTTGTTGTTGTTCATATCGTTCTTCTGGTGGTTCTTGAGGCTTTTTCGTGAAGACTCTGTTGTTAAACCTAGCCAGCTAGCGTTGCTAATTTTCACTCGTATCTTGAACTGCTTGTTTCGCCTTGCTTGACAGCACATTGAACTCACTGAGGATGACGCAAATCATCGAAGCCCACATGGTTGATGTAAACTACTGACTCCATTCGAGGGAACTGCAGAGTCAACCGCAACTCCATAACAAGGTGCTAAAATGATTGCTTGCAAGGGACACTGATTATTGTCACCGTAAATTGAATGTCGTGTTTAACAAGTGTATGTAGATTAACTACGTAGCCTGGCTAGCGGTGATTGGTTCCCATCACAAAGCCAGGTGGCTATACAATGAAGGTAGCTGCTGATGAGGACAACCTTCCTTGCCCTGTTTCATGGCCTGTTCCAACATCAGATCCATGCGATCCGCCTGGCAACTCGGTTGATGGAAGATCTTCTGGTAATGTCTGTGACCCCAACACCCATTGTCATTAAGGTCTTTAGCGGAACAACCATAGTTCTCCAAAGGTATTTTCGCGACAAGAAGGGCTAAGAACTGGTTGCGAATATTGGAGGCCTCGGGCTTTGTTTATGTATGGCTTCAAGTCTCAGGATCTATCAAGCCCGCATCTCTGTTGCACTTTCAACAAGCACAACTTGTAACCCTAAACCCTAAACCCAAAACCCTAAACCCCACCGAAGGATATCAACCCGTGGCTTGGCGGTTTCGCTGCAATCAATAACGGCAAAGTGGCATCTACAGTTTTTGTAACAACCCCCAATAGAAAGGTATGGGAGCCAACCTGATCTCAACACCATGGAAACCAGCTTAAGCTCACCCATATCTGTTGTGACCAGTATACCTACCCATCTTGGACGATAAAACAATCTCTGGCCATTCGGTTCTTCCGCCCTTTGTATTCCCTCCGTCCTCATCTTGATTATCCAGGTGCTTGAAACCATACTCGGCCGCCCTCTTCTCCATAAAGCTCTGCGTGCTTCGCTTGCTCTTCTTCGACATGGCAAGCGCGGGAGAGCAGCTCGCTTGCACCCAGGATCGCTTACGGGGAAAGAAACCAAGCTGTGAACTATGACCTGTTGAAAATTCAAAGCCCATGCGAACATTCAACCCTTTGGAAATTGGAAGTAAACAGAAGTATACAAGACGTCTCAAGATCTTCTGCAGCACCCACCTAACCTCTTTGCAAACGCTCTGGTTCTTGATCTCGGCTGGACAGTCGTGGCTCACAGCCACGAAGCAGGTACAGCTCAACTGGATGGGGGCAGAACTTGGTGCTAAGTCCTTTTCGTATCAACATCTTTTCATGAGACATATACAATATTCTTGAACATTGGCGGAATCAAGATTTGGGGTTTGGGGTTGACTCAGCTGCTTTTAAACCAAGGCCGCTGGATCCCTTAAACCATGTACTAGTGGGGGCATTCCTTCACCGTGCCACAATCTCCACACCATGTTGGAAATCCTAGAAGTTCAAGATATCTAGATTGGCCAACAAGACCCCCTTGACCGTAGACTCAACAAAGGACACGCGAAATCTCCGCGTGGCCTACCTGCACAACATATGCAGGGCAGTTCCAGGGCTTGACTGAGACCAGGCAGGTCCACGGCTTCCGACAACGAGGCTTCGCTCTTGTGGTTCAGCTTAGCAGTAGCAGTGTAAGAGTAGTAGTCATCGTCAACAGGATTTAAAAAATAGTTCAATATTCTGTAAGGTATTGTAGTAGACTAACAAACACGGTAGTAAATAGTAACAGATAGGGAGCAAGCATTAGGCAGTATGTATTGGGAACGATGGAAGTGGTAGTAGTACTGTAGTAGTGGTGTGGTGGTCGGTCGTGGTAGTGGCAATGAGAAAACATAGTGCTGACTACTTCAGGACAACCGCAAAAATCCTGGAGATTTCTTTGAGGGGGCCCAGCTGCTTACGATGCTTTGGAGGACAATGGTTTGTCAGTTTGAGTTCAATGCCTTCAGACCCGAAGCTTCAAAGCAGTACTCGCAGGATGTTGCTTCCAGAGAAACGAGAAGAACTAGAACATCTTCTCCAGAGGTTCTTTGTCCGTCGCCTTTTCAAGCGGACCTGAACGACTGGACATCAACTCCGAGTACTCACAGACTCTGTGATCTTGCATTGTGGAAACAACGACATCGCGTGTGCGAGCTGATGAACCTTCGCTCTGTCAAAAGAGAATTCCGAAGCAAGAGCGGCATTTTCCGACCTCGCGCTGTTTCAAAAGGTCGAAAGGTCAGGAGTGCTATGGCTGTAGGGTTAGAGGAGCCGGTTTTTTATGGGCTCAGGCAGTTTCGGGCTTTTGGGCCTTTGGCATAACCTTGTCGAAGTTTGGAAAGGAGCAATGTGCAACTGCGGGAACTTCGCAGGTCATGGGATGCTGACGCAGATGCTGATAGCGAATTTGAGGATGCCTGTTGAAATGCTAAGCCCGCAAACGATACAAATATGGTTGCGTATGTGGTCCGCATCTTTGGCCCTGCACGGCAAGGAGGGGTGTGTCGCTCGGATCAAGGGCTTTGACGGGGTCTAAGAGCTTCGCAAGGAAACTGGATGGTAAAACTTCGTCTCGGCCCTTTGTCAGGCTCATCCCTTTCCCAAAACACCTAAAGGCCCAGCCTCGCCACATACGAAGGGGTGGAGCAGAGCTGTCGGATGCTGTCGGAGCTCAAGCAAAAGCCTTTTGCCTCCATGTTTCGGGATCCGTGAGGCTGAGAAAAACCTTGGGAAAGCTCCAGCTTGGCTCGTGTGGGCGTTGAGCTGAAACCGTACTGAGCCGTGAGCAAGCCATCATCAGGAGCCAC